GGTCCTGGGTCGCCCCGGACACGTGCGGCGCCACCGCGGAGGCGAACGCGACCGCGTGCGCGTGCGAGGCCGAGACGGAGAGCTCGAGCTACTACTCGACGGCCGACGAGGCGACGGCCATGCTTTCGGCCTACGCGGCGAACCTCATGGCACCGCCGGACCTGTCCAAGGCCGTCTACGTCATCTACTGCCTCGTGACGCTCTTCGCGCTCTGCGTCGTCGCGTCCGTCGTCGGCCCGCGCATGGACGCGCGCGACGCCGCGCGCGCCGAGGCCGCCGAGGCCGCCGAGGCCGCCGAGGCCGAGGCCGCCGGCGACGACGGCAGCGAGGGCTCGGAGGGCGGCTACGAGCTGTCCGAGGAGCTCGAGAAGCTCATGCTGCCGTGGTACTCGCGCGTCGCGATCGGCCTGAGGGTGCAGCACCCCTACATCAACTGGTACTGCTGCTACAGCGAGTCGATGACGCGGCGCGCGCGCGCGTGGATCTGCGGCTTCGAGATCCTCATCTTCCTCTACGGCACGGCGCTCCAGACGAACCTCGAGTACCCGGACGTCGACGACGACTGCGCGGCGCGCTTCGACGAGCGGTCCTGCGGCGGGTTGAAGAACGTGTTCCGCTTCGCGCTGGCCATCACGGAGAATCGGGGCTTCGAGATCGAGCCCGAGGAGATGTGCTCCTGGGACCTCTGCTCCCAGGCGTGCTACGGCCGGAAGCCGAGCGACGACGACTCGGAGAAGGTGAGCCACTACGTGCTCCTCGTGGCCATGTTCGCGCTGACCGTGCCCTGCTGCCACGTCTTCGGCTGGCTCTTCGAGGAGTACCTCATCGCGCCCGTGCCGCCGGCCATCCTCGAGTGTTTGGGGTACGAAGTCGAAGAACCCAATTTCGCGCCCGTCGAAAAGGACTGGGACCCGCGCGAGCGCAAGGCGCTCGAGGACCGGTCGCCGGAGGAGGCGAGCGACGACACCATCACGTCCGTCAAGATCCAGTTCGACGCGACGCACGAGGCCGGCGACGGCGCGGGCGTCGGCGGCGCGCCGCCGGCGCCCGACGCCGACGCCGCGACCGTCAAGATCACCTTCGGCGGCGACGAGCCCCCGGCGCTCCTCGACGCGGGCGCGCCGCCGGCGCCGGACGCCCTGGGCCGGCGCGTCGCCGACTTCAACGAGACGGACGGGCCGCCGCCCGCCGACGACCTCTGCGACCACTGCGCCAAGCCCGGCGCGCAGCTCCGGTGCTCGCGGTGCCTCGACGCGCGCTACTGCGACGCGGCGTGCCAGCGCGCCGCCTGGCCGGCCCACGGGCCCACGTGCCGGGCCCCGGAGGCCGTCTGCGGCCACTGCGGCAACCCGGGCGCCGCGCTGCGCTGCTCGCGGTGTCTGGGCGTCAAGTACTGCGGTTTGGCGTGTCAGACGGCGCACTGGCCCCAGCACCGCCGCGAGTGCAAAGTGCCGGCCATGGAACCGGCGGAGGAGCGGGCGCTGATCCTGTCGGACCTGCGGACGCTCCTGGACGACGTCGAGGGCGAGCCCCTGCTGCTCGCGGCCGCGGACGCCGCGGACAACCAGCGATCGATCCTCGAGAAGATCGCCGGCGAGGACGACTTCTCCGCCGTCGAGGCGGCCCTGAACAAGGAGGACGACGGCGAGGACGAGGACGCCATCGACTGGGTCGGCGACCTGGCGACGTCCCTCGAGGCGGCGAACGGGGCCTGGCTGAACCGCGACAAGGTCCGGACGCCCGGCAAGTCGCCCGGCCGCTCCGCGGGCCGCGCGATGCGCCGGAGCATCACGGCGTCCAAGTCCGTCATGAAGCGCTCCATGAGCGCCGGCGCGTCCCTCTTCAAGGGCGGCAGCGACGAGGACGTCGACGCGCTCGCGCCGCTCGTCGCGGACGCGGTCCGCGCGCGCTGCGCGGAGCTGAGCTACTACGCGACGAAGGCGGACCAGTCGACGCGCAAGGACGCGCGGCGCGCCGCGTCGCTCCTGCGGGCCCGCAAGGACGAGCTCATGGGGACCTGGGGCTGGGTCCCCGGCGACGCGAGCGGCTTCGAGGCCGCAGTCCGCGCGCGCGTCCGGAAGCAGCTGACTCGCGCGCGCGAGTGGGACGAGGAGCTGAACGAGGCCGAGGACGCGGCGGCCAAGGAGCACTGCTTCGCGGGGCACGTGCGCCACCAGAGCATGAAGTCCCACGACCACGCCGTCGCCGGCGCCTGCGCGGACCGCCTCGACGAGGAGATGGAGGCGCCCGACGAGGCGCCCGAGGCGAGGCACTACGTCGCCGCGTGGGCCGCGATGGTCGCCATCAACTTTTACTTCTCCTACTACCTCATCACGACGGGCTCGGCCTTCGGCCTGCGCAAGTCCAAGGTCTGGCTCCTCCAGTGCGCCTTCGCGCTCGCGCTCTACTTCGCGGTCATGAAGCCGCTCGTCGTCGGCATCTACTACGTGCTCATCCCGAGCCTCGTGCTCACCAAGGTCCAGAGCTCGCTCGCCATCTTCGACGACGGCGGCGACGCCGTGCCCTACGCGACGCTCGTGCCCTCCAGCGCGGCCTACTACCTCCTGGCCATGCACCCGGAGCTCCGGGGCACGCGCGCCGGCGCGCGCGTGCTCGGCGGCGACGGCGCGGCGAAGCGGCCGACGGTCGACGACGTCATCGACGGGCTCCACGACAGCGACCGGCGGGCGTCCCACGTCGCCCAGGACGTCATGCTCGTCTGGGTCGCCTTCTTCTTCTCCTTCTCCGAGGACATCCAGGACACGATCGTCGAGGAGGTCGTCGCGTTCTTCCCGGCCTTCGTGGGGCCCATCGTGTCGTCGCTCCAGAAGTCCGGCGCGCGGCGCGGCGGCGCGTCCGAGGCCGTGGGCATGATCCTCGTCGTCTTCTTCTGCGTCGTCGTCTACTGCGTCATCATGGGGCTCGCGAAGTTCTACGCGCGGCTGTCGCGGTGCTGCCACGTGAAGATGCCGCGCGCGCGCGACAAGCGCGAGTTCCTGGCCCTGGCGCGCCGCGTCTTCGACATGATCGACAAGGACGGCAACGGCTCCCTGGACCGCGCGGAGATCTGCGCGGGCGTCGCGGACGACGACGTCCGCGCGTTCCTCGAGCAGTCCGGCAACGAGACGCTCCAGGGCCTCCTCTCGCCCGGGCGCCTCGCGGCGGCGCTCGACGCGCTCGACGGGAACGACGACGGCACGATCAGCGCGTCGGAGTGGGAGTCCGCCATCGAGGTCGCGCTCAAGGACAAGTTCGGCGACGGCGACGGCGACGGCGGCGGCGGCGGCGACGGCGGCGGCGCGATCGTCGAGGCGGAGCCAGTCGTCCGCGCGGAGCCGGCCAAGGCGGCCTGGGGCGACAGCGAGCCCGGGGAGCGCAAGGACGCCGAGTGCAAGGACGGCGACGACGGCGCCTCCGCCTTCGACGGCGCCACCTGGTCCTCGGCGGGCATCTTCAAGGGCGGCATGGGCATGAACGTGTCCATCGCCACCGTCGAGTGCGACACCAGCTGCTCGGCCTAGGGGCCCGCGGGGCCTATGCGCCGCGTCTCGGGCGCGGGACGCGGGTCCGCGCGGCCTAGGGGCCCGCGGCGTCACATTTATAAACCGCCGCTTCTCGGGCGCGGGGTGCTGGGGAGCGCCGCCCGCGCCGTCACTATGCGGCGGTGTGTGGGTCTCGCGCCTTCTCCTCGGCGGCGTCGCAGCTCCGCGCGAGGATCGGGCTCGCGGCCGTGAAGCCGTCGTCGCGGTCGTCCGCGCGGTACAGCCTCCTGAAGTCGCGCCGGTGCGCCGACCAGGACGAGCCGCTGATCGTCCGGACGTGGCTGGACCAGACGAAGGCGGCCAGGCACAGCAGGAAGACGACGACCGCGATGTGCAAGGAAGTGCCGACCAAGAGTCCGAGCAAGTAGAACAGCAAAAAGACCCCGACGCACACCAGCAGCCAGATCAACAGGAGCGCGCGCAACACGAGCGTCGTCCTCCGGATCACGCGCCGGCCCGCGGCCTCGTCCGGCGCCCCGGAAGACGTCCGCGCGTACTCGTAGGCCAGCCTCGGGTCGTCGCATGTCCGCGCGGACTTTTGTAGCCGTTCCTGCTCGCCGTCCGAGTCGCCCTTGCACACGCCGCCCATGGTCCCCGCGAAGGGTCAGGTCCGCGTCCAGACGAAGACCTCGAACGTGATCGCGAAGAGGATCGGCAGCAGGACGACGAGTTGCGCGCCCGGCGGGATCCACGACACCCAGATGCCGCCTAGAATCAGGAGCACCTCGTAGCGGATGACGAGGCCGCCGATGCCTACCGCGCGCGACGATGGCGACGGTTCGTCGTTCCCCCGGCCGAAATCTCTCGAAAAGCGTCGCGACGCTGGCCGATGCCGTCCCGCGCCTTCTTAAACAGGTCGATCTGCCAGTCGCGCGCGTTGCCGTCGGCGCCGAAGGACTCGGCGAGGTGCGGCGCCATCGCGGCGCCGGCGACGCCGGCGACGACGCCGAAGCCCTGGCCGAGCAGGGACCGCAGGCCCGGGTGCTGCGCCTCCTCGGACGCGCGCGCCGCCCACGCGACGCCCTTCAAGATGCGGAGGCGGTCGCCCAGCAGGGACGCGTCGGAGAAGTGCCGTTCCAGGAGCGCCTCGTTCAGCCCGAGCATCGCGGCGCCGTCGACGCGCTCGGCGCGGAACCGCTCCACGAGCTTGTCGTCGCAGTCGTCGCCCACGATGCCCGCGACGAACGTTCCAACCTCCGCGAGATCCCACGTCGCCGGGTCCGCGGGCAGGCCCTTCGACGCCTCGGGCATCGACGCGTGGCGCGTCTCGACGGCGGGCGCGTCCCAGGCCGGCGCGACGCGCACGCGGCTGCAGCTGGTCGTCGTTTCGAGGCTGAGGGAGGACATGTTGGTCGGCGGCGCGGCTACCGCGCCGCCTGCGGCGTGCCGGGAGGCCATCGCATGCCTTCCTCGGCCGTTTTTAAGCGCGTTCCATGTTGAAGATGGACCGAAACCCTCTTACGAGCCCCCGCCTCGTCGCGCGTCGTCCTCGGAGGGCGGGTCCACGGCGAGCCAGCTGTCCTCGGAGTCCGTCGGCAGGTCGCGCTCGTCGTGGGCCTCCGGGTCCCGCGCGGCCGCGGCGCCCGCCGCGCCCTCGACGAGGCGGCCGCCGGCCCAGACGTGGGACCCCTCCGCGGCGACGCGCGCCGCGCGGCGGTCGGTCTTCGTCGGCGACGGCGGCTTCGGCGGCGGCGGCGGCGGCGGCGGCGGCGCGCGGCGCGCGGGCAGCCGATTCGAGGCCTCGAACGACGACGTCGCCGTCGCGAGCTGCTTCAGCTCGACGGACTTGGCGGCGTGGTCCTCTCGCGCGCCCGTGCCGTAGATGCAGCGCGCGACCCAGTAGGTGAGCGCGAGGCCCAGCGCGGCGACGAACGCCTTTGGCGCGGAGACGAGCGCCCACTCGAGCTGCTGCGACGGCGCGAGCCGCGGCGGCGGCGGGTCGGCGCGCGGCGGCGGCGGGGCGTGCGGCCGCGGCGGGGCGTCGTCGCGGTGGGCGTCGTTCTCGCCGGGCGCCGGGGCGTCGTCGCGGTGCTGGGCGCGGGGCCCGGCGCGCGCCGCGGCGCCGTCGCGCTGCGGCGCCGTCGCGTTGTGCCGCCGGAGGAACTCCTCGCGCTTGCGCTCGTGGAGGTGCACGAGCTGCTCGTGCTGGCGCTGCGCGACGCGCGTCGTCGTGTTCGGGGGTGCGGGCGCCGCGGCGGCGAACGCGCAGCAGAGGAGCACACGTCTCGATGGGAGTTTGAAGAGCTGACGTCTCGATGGCATGTTGCGAGCCCCCGTGCTGGGCGGCGTTCGTGGGCTGCTGGACCAGGACGGGCTGCGGAAGCCGGCGGTCAGGAGCACCGACCAACGCTACTGTTCGCGAGACTGACGCCCATGTCTTGGGCTAAGAAACGGCACCGAGCCAACGTTGAAGCACGTGAGGCTCAGCAGCCTCTCTCGCACTATTCATCTTCGCCTCCTCCTCGCGCGCTGCTATGAACAACCAAGGTCGGACGAACTTATGGCCCAAAAGGAGGGGGTGGCCGCGGTCCCGCGCACGCGGCTTTCGCCGCGAAGCGCGGGGCCCGCACGCGCGGCGCGGGGCGCGGCGAGGGAACTATGTCGTCGACGGCGCCGCCCACGCAGGGCGAACGGTCCGCCGGGGGTGATGCGCCGGCCTAGTCTCGGTGGTGCTTGCCGAGGTAGTCGAAGTACCAGTCGGCCCAGTAGTACGTGCCGACGAGGGCGACCGCGCCCGGCCCGATGTCCCAGATGGACGGGAAGTTGTTGAGGAAGTTCGCCGGGCCGAACTGCTCCCAGAGGGACCGCGTCGGCTGGAGCTCGAAGGGCGAGATCATCTGCGTCGTCATGCCGTCGACCGCGCCGGTGCTCGGCTTCTTCTTCCACCAGATCTCGAGGTGGGGCTGGACGCCCGCCTTGACGGCGCCGCCGAAGCGCACGGCGGACGTGCGGAACGCCATGTCGGGACCTGCGCGGACGGCCGGGGTGAAACGATGGCTGGTTCGGAGGTTTGCAGGGTTTGAAGGGTTGGGCGGGGCGTTCCGCGTCGATTTTTCGGAGGAGCGCGGTCGAAGGGTCGAGGAACCCCGCGCGCCGCTCCCTCCGACGCGTTCGTGTGCCGGGACGCCGCGCCCCACCGGCTAGATCGGGCTTCTCTCGCTCGACAGGCGCCTGCAGGCCGGAATTCCTCGGACAAAAGGGACAAAAATAATTGCCGCATGCGCCGCCGCACATGGCGCCGCACACGCAGCGATTCGCGTTCTCTGTCGCGCTGATCGCGCGAGCCGCGGCCCTCAGCGCCTCCAAGAACGCCATCGCCGCGCACACGAACTTCGTGAACAGCGCCGGCACGGGCACGGGCGCCGCCAGGGGCGACGCGGCCAAGCACATCGAGCGCCAGCGCGCGGTCTTCGACGAGGCCGCGGCCTACTTCGCGTCGCCGGAGGCCTCGCCGCCGGAGGTCGAGGCCGTGCTCGACGCGCTCGCGCGGCGCGTCGTCGCCGGCTGCGCCGGCGCCGCGCCGCGCGTCCTCGACGTCGGCTCCGGCACGGGCTGCCTGAGCCGGCGCTACGGCGCGTACGGCGCGTCGGCCGTGGTCGGCGTGGACCTCTCCCCCCGCATGGTCGCCGAGGCCGAGGCCAAGGGCGGCGCCGGCGTGTCCTACGCGGCCGCGGACGCCGTCGACTTTTGCGCGACGTACGCCGGCGAGCCCTTCGACGCCGTCGTCTTCAACGCGTGCTTCGGCAACTTCTTCGACCAGGCGGCGGCGCTCGACGCCGCGGCGACGGTGCTGACTCCCGGCGGGACCGTCGTCGTCGCGCACCCGCTCGGCGCGGACTTTGTGGACGAGCTGAAGGCGCGGGACCCGTCGGTCGTGCCGCACGGCCTGCCGCGGACGGAGGACGCCGCGCGCGCGCTCGCGCCGCCGCTCGGCCCGCCCCTCGACGTCGGGTGCGTCGACGACGCCGCGCCCTACTACGCGACGTGGACGCGGCGGCCCTTCGCGCGCCTCGCGGCGCCGCTCGGCCTCCGGGGGCCCGTCGCGCGCGGCTACGGCCGCGGCGGCAAGGACCTCGGCGTGCCGACGGCGAACCTGCCCGAGGACCTCTTCGGCGACGCCCTGCGGACCGTCGACGCGGGCGTCTACGGCGCCTGGGCCAAGCTCGCGGGCGACGACCCGGCCGCGGAGCCGCGGCCCGCCGTCGTCAACGTCGGCTACTCGCCGACGTTCGTCGACGCGGAGAACCCGCTCAAGATCGCCGAGGCGCACCTCCTCGACTACGAGGGCGGCGACTTCTACGGCGAGACCATGGCGCTCGTGCTCGTGAGCCGCCAGCGGCCCGAGCAAAAGTTCCCGGACTTCCCGACCCTCCTCGCGAACATCCGCAACGACATCGACGTGGCCCGGCGCGCGCTCGCCGGCGACGCCGCGCTCCGCGCCCTGCGCCCGAAGCTCGCGGGCTTCCTCGGCGACGGGCCCGTGGAGGCCGCCGTCTTCGACGCGGCGGAGTAAGACGGCCGTTCGCGAACGAGAGGCCGGGATGTTCACTCTTTTCGCGGAAGATAGGAATCGCCTTCAATGTGTTGTTTTTGTGACAGGATCCTATATACTATCCCACGACAACCAAGGACGACAGGCAACCATTCCAACGCCCCGATACTCGGGGTTACTTGCCGAAAGTCGTGCTGACTTCAGCATCGATGCTCGATGCCGATACTTCCGCAAGTTGATCACCGCCGTGTCGTCCTGCCACTCCTGGCTTGTCCCGGGACAATGGGTTGTCCCACATAGGATCGAGTGACGCAAAATGGGCTGCAGCCCCAAAGCCGCGGCGCGGGGCCTGCTGGCGCTGGCGCTGCTCGCCGCGGGCTGCGGCGCGGACCTGACGAAGATCACCGCCTGCACCTGGGAGCAGAAAGGAACCCAGGAGTGCGACACCGTGTGCCTCGATCTGGGCACGGGCTCCGGGCACCGGGAGGTCTGCCGCGAGAACTTGTACGAGAACGCGGACAATACCTGCGGCCTCACGATGTACTACAACTCGAACAACGACGGCTGCAAGATCTGCGACGGCGACGGCACGAGCGGCACGCTCTACACGCGGCACAAGATCGACATCTGCTCCACGATCACGAGTTGCTCCGCGGGCTACGAGCCGAGCAGCGACGGCCAGGACTGCGACCCGAGCCCGACGCCCGCGCCGACGGCGACGCCGCAGCCGACGCACCCGCTCGTCGCGCACTACTCCTTCGACGACGGCACGGCCGCCGAGGACAGCGACGGCAGCCTCGACGGGACGATCAGCGGCGCGACGGCGACGACGGGCCGCGACGGGAGCGGCGCGCTGTCCTTCGACGGGACGGACGACTACGTCGATTTCCCGGCGGCGGTGACGGCGGACATCCTCGGAGGCGCCGCGCGGACCGTGTGCTTGTGGGCGAAAGTCGACGACCTCAGCGGCGGCGACTTTCTGTTCGGATACGGGTCCGAGAACAGCTACCTCGCGTTTGGCCTGCAGACGGGCTCCACGGCGAGTGATGTGTTCACGGTCCAGTTCTGGAACTGGTACCCCGACGTGGAAATGCCGGGCTCCGACGACGGCGATTGGCACCACTACTGCCTGACTTACGACGGATCCGATTGGACTCTCTACTTGGACGGGTCGCAGGCCGGCACGGGGGCCGTCGCGGCGAACACGGGAACCTTCAACACCCTCCGCCTCGGACATTGGTATAGCGTCAACTACGCGATTGGATATTTTTCCGGCGCCATCGACGAGGTCTACGTCTACTCGAGCGCGCTCGACGCGGCGGCGGTCCAGGTCCTCTACGACGCCGTCACGCCCCCGCCGACGCCCGCGCCGACGCCGCGGCCGACGCGGTCCTGCCGCACCGTCCAATTCTCGAAGCACTACCTCTGGAACTGGGGCACGCCCCACTCCGTCTGGTGCGGCGACGTCGACGGCGACGGCGACGTCGACGAGCTCACCGCCCACGCCACGCCCCAGCGGGTCATCTGGTACGAGAACGACGGCCAACAGTCCTTCTCGGAGCGCGTCGCCGGGAGCGGCGAGGACTTCAAGGCCGCCATCGCGCACGACGTCGACGGCGACGGCGACGTCGACTAGGTCGCCGCCGGCGCCGAGGCGGCCGGCGCCGAGGTCGACGAGGTGCCCGCCGGCGCCGAGGTCGACGAGGTCCCCGCCGGCGCCGAGGTCGACGAGGTCCCCGCCGGCGCCGGCGCCGACGTGCGGCAGCCAAATCGCGGCGAGGCGGCCGCGCTCCGGCGCGTGATCCGGTCCATCCTGTCCGCGGCGACGCACTACGAGGTCCTCGGCGTCGCCCCGGACGCGGCGGACGCCGAGATCTCCGAGGTCTACCGCGACCTCGCCCGCACGGTGCACCCCGACAAGCCCCTCGGCGACGCCGCCGCGTTTCGGCGCCTCGCGGACGCCAAATCCGTCCTCCTCGACGCCAACGCGCGGGCCCGCTACGACGCCACGCTCCGNCAGCCGCCGCCCCCTAGG